ATGGCCATTCCAGTCTCCCTTGTCTTTGTCGGCTATATTATCTGCCCAATCATACCGGCTGTTACGGCTGTCAGGGCTTCTGTCGAGGCCGAAGGCAGAGTGGGACAGATGAGTTTTGTTAGTGATCAGGTGAGTGTTCATCAACGAATAATAATACCCGTTTCCGCTACAAATTTTTGCTCATGTCTCTGACGAAGAATCCACGCCGGATGTCGAAACGCCAAGCGAGTAAATATCTTGTCCCAGTGATCGAATCTTCTTCTTCTCAATATCAGCACAGTTGGCGTATCTTCTTCTAAAAGGAAAATAATTCTGCAGAATCCAGCCCTATCAGTTCATATTCTCATTTTCAAGTGCGTCCTAATATTGTGATACACCATGGCAATACAGGGGAATAGGAAATCCCCTCCCCGCCATAAAACAAGTGGTCTGGCGCCAATCTCAAGAAGAGAACTTATTTCCATGTCTTAAAACTCCCTCAAACCTTAGCCCTAACAAGGAGGCTTACTTTAAATTTAATTCCCTGGGAGAGTTACCCGCTACCTGCATTCCGAGGACTACGTATTCCCGTGTTCTGTCATTAAAGCACTTTTCGGGGTAGACTTCCGGGGAAAAGGAACTCTCTAAAATAAAGCCACTGACCACACGTAGCAATTTTACTTCAAAAAGTAATTTTCGGATGCTTTTCGGCAAAAGTAGTATATTTATGCCCACTCATATACCCCTAGTCCCAGTATGTTGTGCTGCAAAAATGGTGGTTATAGACTTTTGGGGGTGGGGAAATAGGATAGGCAAAGAAGGAAATTTTTAGAAGTGTTAAGTGAAAAAATGTAGTCGAAGTTGCTTCCCACGGCCGCTGGGAATAAGTTCTTCCGCATGTTAAGTGAAGGTGTGCGCGGCGCTCCACGCTGCGGACTACACTAATCTAACTCCAGAACGGTAAGGTGGACCTCAGGTAAATTGAAGTAGACGATCTCCTAACCACCACTTCAAGTTTTCGGGAAATTCAAGATACCTGCAATTTATAATCGGGTTTTTCTGCAATAAGTTAAAAGATAATACAGATTATGAAAATTTACAGATATAAATCAACAACAACTTCTAAATACAGTAAAATAAAAATGCATTTAGCATTTATTAAAGTATATTTCACTGCATGTCCTAATTCCCCACCCATAAAACCCTATAACCATCGTGTTCGTAGGAAAACATGCTGGGAATAGGATTACTGACTGGGCCTACATAAGCTACTGTTGCCGGGTTTTGTAACTAGAAAGCTCTTTAGGGTACTATCATTTTAGATGCAGGCAGCAGCGTCAGAGGTATTACAGATCGTCACTATTGTAACTTCTGAACTTGGATATATAAACTTGTCAAATGTGAACACACATGAAAGTCTATGGGGTACTACCGATCCGTAATGACCGCAAAATAACTATCTGTGTCTGGCGTATTAGTACATTGACGAACGTTCTATATATTGGAGCTTGACAGCGAGCATAGAGAATGAGGTTGGCGGCTCAGGGCCTTTTCTTCAGCTTAAGTAATCTGACGCGCCTGAATCTTCTCCTCCTCAATATCAACACAGTTGGCATACCTTCTTATAAAATGAAAATTTTTCTGCAGAATCCAGCCCTAACACTTCATATTCTGGTTTTCAAATGCATCATAATATTGTGATTCACAATGGAAATACAGGGGAATAGGAAGTCTCTGCATAAAACAAATGGCCCAGAGCCAATTCCAGGAAGAATACTTACTTTCATGTCTTAAAGCCTCCTTTAACCTTAGCCCTAACAAGAAAGCTGACCCTAAACTTCACCCTCCCTAGGAAACCGTGCATGCAACCTACATTCTGAGGTGTACGTAGTCCCCCGTTCTGTCATTTAAGCACCTTTCGGTGTAGACTTTGAAAAGAAGGGAACTCTCCAACATAGAGCCACTGACACTAGGATATCAGTTTTACCGCCAACAGGTAATTTTCAGAGGCGTTTCTAACTAGAAGGCTCTTGAGGGTGCTAACACTTTAGACGCAGACGGCTGTGTCATGGGCATGGCACATCGTCTGAAATTGGGTATATAACCTTGTCAAATAAGCCCGCACATGAAGTTCTATG